GGGCCACCTTCGGGGTAGCTTCTCCTTGCGATGCTTTGCTCTGCACCTAGCGGTATCCATTACAATTCATATGTAAAGTATAATGCCAAGAGTTATACTGTTCTCGTAGGAGGTGGGGGTGTAAAAAGGAGTTTATGCACGAGGACATTCTCGGAGAAAACGCTGCGAGTCAGTGCCAGGTTCATTCATTTCTAGCTGGTGATAATGTATCTGGATAGGCTTACCAAGAAGGGAGTTAAGTTGGTCTCGGATGAGGTTTGTGGTGCGCCTGAGAATCCAGGGAGCAAAGGTCAGGAAAAGAATGATAGCTATTAAAGGCCCGAGGAGAGGGAGAAGAAAGGGGAGCAGTCCGTTGAAGGCTGTAAGGAAAGGGCTCTCAGTCAGAGCTTTTCGCCGTTTTTTCAGGTCTTCTTGAAGGGTCTTGATCTTGTCCCGTACGATGCCTGACTTGTTGGCATAAAAGCAGCATCGTTCCTGTAAAGCTAAACAGATACCTCCCTGCTCTGCTGTGAGTAAGTCTAGACCTCATCTATTCTGTAGGACTACTTCTGCTACGGAATCTAATTGGTCTTGAATGTCAGTAATAGTATTTGATAAGGCTTGTACATCATTGACAAGTTGTTTGGAAAGTTTTGTATAGGAGTGAATTGCGACTCCTAATCCTGTAGTTCCGGTAGCTACTGCTCCAGAGACTCCTAGACCAACAAGCAGGGGAATAACAGCTAAGGCTCTTTTGTGTCGTCCTGCGAAGTGGTCAAAAGCAGGGACGGGGACGGGCTCATCTCCTGGGATGATGTCTATGTCAGGTAATAAGGCAGCTAAGGCACATAGCCCTGTCCAATTGGCAGGCAAGGCGGTGAAAGCTAGATTATTACCACACACGAATGCTCGCCCTGGGCCAGGACAGAGGGATGTGCTGTAATTAAGCGTGTGGCTACAATTGGTAAAGCTGGCGAAACCAACAGAAATATCAAAAGAATTATTTTGTGAACTTTTATAGATACAAGGGGAGGAGTCAAAGAGCATAGGCTGAACTCTAAAGGGTATGCTGAGGGTGCAGTTTTGTTCGGTGATATTCAGGGCTGATATGTTGGTGGAGACAGCTAGAGGCATGGGGGTGCCTTGCACGCCGCGGGTGAAAATGGCGGACGCGCCATGTGCTGAAGGCAAAATGGCGGCGGCGGGTGCGTGAGAGGTACTATAAGGAGGCGGTTTGAATGGCGGAAGGACTGCCGCCACGAGTGGTGGCCAGTCAGGATTATTGTAGCGAGCGGCCTCATACTCTAACTCTGCCTGTTCAGAGGGATTTAACTGGTTGCCGGGGAGTGACTGCGGAGAATTTCTTGCCCTTCTTTGCAAAGGCGCTGTATGTCAGGGGGATTATTGTGGTTTTTAATAGTCATTTAGACAGTCGCCTACACGGCGCCAGACACGGGAGTCAATGCTACCCTCCTGAGGAAACTATGGGCAGATTTTAAAAACGAAAGTGAAAAAGGAATTCAAATTTTTTTTACGAACTCTTATCTTGCGCACCTTGAGAGACTCTTTTTGTGAACATGCCTGTCCCATGGCTGCGTCTTACCTTTGAAATGCCGCTGTCGGGGAACGGGGTCCTCTGGGAAATGCCGGCGCGCGCGGTCGAGTAGTCGTGTGAGCCGGGCGAAACGCTGGGCGAAACGCTGCGATCGGAGGGGACAGCGGTCCGCACAGGCGATCAGTGGGGCCCCACGTTGGGCGCCAGTTGCCTCGGCCCGCGAGACAGTCAACGGGGTCCGACCACCTACCTAGAACAAATGAGTTGGGGGGACAAGAGGCGCGAAGAATGGCAGCAAGACAAAGGATTCTGATCAAGCTGCAAATTTATTTCAAAATGGAGGGAGTTATATAGAGGAGGGCAGTGGAGGAAGTGCAGTGGATAGGTGGCTTCAAGGCGTGCTCTAGCCTGTGATTGGCCGGGGGGTGCATGGCAGGCGCGTGATCAAGGCACTGATTGGTGTGCCACCCGCATGTCCAGGAGGTGGAGTTCTATGGCTCCTGACTGCAACATCCTGCCATTCAAGGCGTATCTCTCAGGTCTGATTGTATCAGCCTGTTTCAGGCTTATCCCAGCCCCCAACATCTGAGGACCAGCCTCTCCTGTTGTGTCTCAGCAAACAGGCCGGGAGAGGGTCAAGGTCCTGTCTGGGGTCCCAGGACTGGGGTGGCAGAGCCAGAGTTCAAGCTCATTCCTGCAGTCAGCAGTGACTTGTTGAGCACCTACGGTGTGCCGGGCCCATGGCCACGAGCTGCCGTGGGGAGGACCCTAACCCACTCTGAGTCGTCGCTTCCTGTGCTGCCCCTTCCCTCCTGAGCGGCCTCCCGGCCATCAATCACATCGCTGCTCAGACGGCTGCAGTCCTTGCCTGTCTCCCCTCTCCACCCCCGCCCCCCATGGAAGGGGCCCTGGGAACTCATGGAGGTGAGCCAGCTCCTGGCAGGGTGTGAGCCCCGGGCGCACTGCAGGCAGGACTAGGACCAAAGCCACTTTTCCAAGCCCCAGGCCAGGCCTGAGAGCCCAGCAGCATTTACTGAAAGGTGCAGGTGTGGGGTTTGGTAGAGGGTCATTTATTCATTCAGCAAACCAAGGTTGACACACACCTTCATGTCAGGCCCGGGCCGGGGGAACCCAGAACACCTCTCTGGGTAGCACAGCCTTGGTTTAGGGTAAGGGATGGCGGGGGCAGCAAGACAGGGTCTTTCCAAAATGGAGGGGGTCAGGGAGCCCTGGAGGGCGCCGAGGTCAGTGGACCCGGCTGAGACAGACGGGGATGGGGGTGCAAGGCCGTGCACCGACTTGGAGCCTCCTGGAGGGTTTGGACTTTATCCCAAGGTCAGCGGTTCCACCGTGCAAGGACCAGGCAGCGTCAGATGTGGCTTGTACTTGGCTCGTGGTGGCAAGCCTGGGAGCCCTTCAGGGAGGCTGCTGCCGTTGTCCAGGTGATCGCTGGTGGTGGTGCGGCCAGCACAGACCTGGAGCAGACCTGGCTCAGTGACAGGTGTGTGGGGTCGACGAGAGGGGGAATTCCTGGCGTGGGCGGCTGGGCGCCCGGCACTTCGCTGACGCCCCGGAGGAGAAACTCTGGGGATTCCCGAGGTCCACCAGGCGTTTCTGGGTGTCAGGCTCCTACCCCAGGTCATCGGCTCAGGTTGCTGGAGCCACCATTTGAGCGAGTTCTTTGCACCCCATTTTGCAGTGGAGGGTCCCAGGCAGGATGGAAACTGACCGGACGCAGGCCCTGGCCTTCCCTGTGGCCTGGCCCCATGCCCCGGGTCTGCTCCTCTGTCTCCCAGACCCCACTGGCAGCCAGGCCTCTCAGGACACAGGGGTCTCCACAACCGGCCACCCTGTACTCACGGGGAGGTGCCCACAGGAGCGCCCCCCACTCCTACTGCCCAGGTATGTGGGGGTGCCCACCGCTCCCACGCCCCCAGGTGCGGTGCATGGAGCAAAGCCTCTCCAGCTTAGCTCGGCTCCCCGGCCCTATGCTGGGGAAGGCCCCGTGAGGACAGAGGAGGGTGGGGGTGCTTTCTGGGCTGGAGACGGAGCTGCGGCTCCGCACTGAAGTGGCCCTTTGTATACTGTCCCCGGAGGACACGCAAGCCTGGCGGGGAGGGGCTGGCACTGCCGGGGCTGCCTGGGCAGGACGGGGCTGAGAGGGTGGGGCTTTCTCTGGGCCCCTGGACAGGGGAGGGCCCCCTGCTTGGGGTGGGCATGCACTGGCTGGGCCTGCTGCCCGTGCACCCCCAAACCAGGCGGTACTTTTTGCTCGGAGTCTGTCACTGGCTCTCGTAAGAGTTCCGCTGTCATTCAGCAGCTGTTCACCGAGTGCTGTGCCCAGGTCAGGCTGTGTCAGGGGTGGGGAGCAGCGGTGGCCCGTAACCACGGCCCACAGTGACCCTGCTGTCCTGCTGTGGACATTCCGAGTGAACAGGGTGTGGCTGGGACAAGCAGACCACTAACACATAAACAGGGAGATGGCTTCGCGGCGAGGAGTGCTGCGGGGCAGACAGTCCAGGAGGGGACACTGCTTTAGCTGGCCCGTCACGGAGGGGCAGGTGGCTGGCATGGGGAGATCTGAGGGAAGGGCATTCCAGGTGGCAGGAACTGCCAGCTCCAGGTCCCTGAGACAGGCGAACCCGGGGTGTGGGGGGGACAAAGAGGCAGGGACTGTGGGTGGGGCCGAGTGGACAAGGGGGGGCGCAGTCAGCAAAGAGGCAGGGACCAACCCGACAGGGTGTGTGGACGCAGGAGTTTGGGTTTCATTCTGAGTGTGCAGGAGTGGGGGAGGGAGGGTCCCGAAATTTAAGAATTTCAAGTCAGAATTCTTAAAAAGGGGGAGGTAGGAGGGAGGCCGGTGAGGAGGAGGATTGGGGTTATGTCCTGGGAACCTTTTTGGAGGGAGGTGTCCGCAGGCCTCGCAGCGAGCGCCCCAGCCAGGCACGTGGTGAGGAGCTCAGGACTGGTTGAGGTTAAGGCTTTTCGGATGTTACCCCTTTTAACTGTCACTGAGTGAGGGTCTGGGCTGGTCCCATGAGGAGCCCCAAGGGGTAGGAAGTGACCTGGTCACACAGCGGGGCCAGGAAAAGCAGGGGCAGGGTTTGAATCCAGCCACCCCACCCCCAACCTCTCCTGCCTCCTGAGACACTGGGCGCAGGGGCGTCTTGCACAGCCGGGCCCAGGAGCGAGTTCTTCCCGGGTGCAGGGGTTCAGGGCTCCGGGTTCCGTAGAGTGTGAGTGGTAGGCTGCCTGGGGCTGGGCTTGGTCAACGTCTGTCCAAAGGCCGGCTCCTCTCCACGAATCAGGAAGGGCCGTGTTCTTTCTCTCATCGGCTCTGTTAATGATTACTCACTTGCTCAGTTAGTTATCATGGGCTGGGGCCACCCCCCAACCGCCTTGACTGTGCCCTGGCTGGACCCTGGTCTCTCTTCCTTCTTCCTCCTTCCTCCCAGGGCTCCGCACCTGCCCCTGCCCTCCAGCCTTCTGTCCCGGCCAGGCTCTCCCTGCAGAGATGGCCAGGCCCCTGTGCCCTTGGGAGTCCTCTTGACGGTCCTTCTCACGTGGGCCCTCAGCACCCCACCCTGGTGGGCACCGTCCCCTCTGACAGGGGCCCACTGAGGCACAGAGGGGCGTGGGGCCTGCCCACAGCGAAGTCCTTCACCGTGCGCTGGATGTTCGCCTCCCTGTCGTCCTCTGTGCGGCTGGCTCGGGAGCGGGACTCGGCACACCCTGCGTTCAGGGCAGGCAGGTGGGCCAGTGGGAAGCTTCTCTCCAGGCTGATGGGGGCTGCTCTGAGCAGGCTGGGGTTGAGGGCAGCCCCCCCGCCGGGGAGGCAAGAGCTAACCTGGGCTGTAAAAGAGGGGAGAAGGGGACCCCGGATTATGGGACAGCATCTTTTTTAAAAGATTTTTAGAGGGAGGGGAAGAAAAGGAGAAGGAAAGGTAGAGGAACATCAGTGTGTGGCTGTATCTCGAGTGCCCCCAACTGGGGACTAGGCCCGCAATCCAGGCATGTGCCCTGACTGAGAATCGAACCTTCGACCCTCTGGTTCACAGACCGGCACTCAGTCCACTGAGCCACACCAGCCAGGGCGGGACAGCATCTTTAAAGGCCCTCAGTGCACCCCCCCCCATACGTCCACCAGCAGCGTGAATGGTCGAGGCCCCGCTGCCCAGCTCTCTTCCGAGACAGATTCATGTCTTCGCCCTCCCAGGAGCAGCCTGGAGAGGGTGACTCTGAACAGAGGGACCGCATGCCCTGCTAATGGTGAGCTTGGGCATCGAGCCTTCACGGGCAGAGCAGGAGCTGTTTGGGGGTCTCCTCTGGGGCCCCAGTTTCTCACCCGTGGTCACACACAGACTCCTCCCCCAGTGGCACCAGGACCCCCCAGCTCACCCCACCTGTGAGCTTTATTCAAGCTCTTGCACGTCACTCCTCTGCTTCCCACCTGTGTCCTACTGAAAGTGCCCCGGAGCCCCTTGAGAGAGAGGACACAGTTCAGGGTGGCCTCCGGTCCAGAGGGAACCAGACAGAGAGGCTCCAAGGGGAGGTGGGCCTGCGGCTCCCTGGGCACTGACGGGCTCTCACCTGTACACGGAAACCTGGAGGGCCCTCAGCGTTTGGACCCCCGCCTTGGGGAGCGGCTCCAGTGGGGTGGAGCACGTCTCCCTGCTTGGTCACCCTTTTCTTTTTCTAATCCTCACCCGAGGGTATGTTTACTGATCTTAATTTGAAAGAGAGAGAGAAACTTCGATGGGTTTCCTCCTGTGCGCGCCCTGCCCGGGATCAAACCCGCGGCACAGTTTTCCAACCAGTTGAGCCACCCGGTCAGGGCTGCTTGGTCACCCTTTTGTACAAACAAGAAGACTGAAGCTCAGAGAGGTTAGGCGACTCGGCTGGGAAGAGGTGGGGCCAGGAAAGCAGCCCAGGAAAGGGCAGAACTGGCACCAGCCGGACAAGGTCAGTTCCTCACACCGCCACCTAATCGGGGCCTGCACTGGGCCTGGGGCGCAGGGGGCAGCCCTTGGGGAGAAACAGCTGCCATGGAGCTGAGAGACCAGGCACAGGGTCGAGGGGCGCGCTGCAGCAGCTGGGATGGGGCAGCGCCCCACCCGTGGCCTGTGACCCTCCTGAGGCAGGTACCTGGTTAGGTGAGGGGAGGGGAGGGGAGCTTGGAGGGGCCCAGGCAGGAACCCGGCAGGCCTGAGGCAAAGTGGAGTGGTGGGCACCGACACACCCTGCCACTTACTTACTGGGTGAGTGGGGAGCGAGCCAGGCTGGTCTCGGACTCTGCCATCGTGATGGGTTGATGTGACAGTGAAATTAGAGAAGGGAGCTGAAGCCCTTGCTGGGGTGTCCAACCTGCGGCCGGTGGCATTCACGGGACGGCTTTAGGAATTTTTTGTGTGATTAAGTGTCACAGTGTATTTAATGTGCGGCCCAAGACAACTCTTCTTCCAGTGTGGCCCAGAGACGCCAAAAGGTCGGACACCCCTGCCTTGGAGCATGCCGCAGTGGGTGGCTCAAGAATGGGCTCGGACAGGGTTGAGGTGTCCCCAGGCCACGCAGCCAGGTCCCGCCGACTGGAGGCCAGGGTCAAACGGGAGGCCAACAAACCTCCAGGGTGTGGGTGCAGCCAGTCCGAGACCCTCCAGGAGGCTGTGGACAGGGGCCTGCAAAGCAGAGCAGGAGGAGCCCTGCCCCCTCCGGGGCTTCAGGCCCCCAGAGCCTCCTGCAGGCCAGGCCTCATCTCAGGTTTTTGACTTTCTAGAGCACCCACCCCCTTCAAGCTCCTGGAGACCCAACACAGGCCCCTGTCGGGGAGATTTACTCCCGTTGCAGTTCGTGGGGGGATGGGGCAGGGCCCAGGGCTTGGGGAGATGTGGCTGTGACTCACTGTGTCACAACCCCCTGGAGTGTGGCCTGGGTGGAGAGGGCAGCCGTGGCATGGGGGTGGAGCTGTTGCTCAGGGGCAGCTTTTCCGGGCCACATGCAGAAGGGAGGCCCCCCGGCCCCTGCTGGGGACGTGGGCAGAGGCGAGCGGCCAGGCTGAAGGCAGCAGCAGCCTGGACCCTGTGCCGACCTCCTGACTCAGGACCCCCAGCGGTGGTGTGTGGGTGTGAGCTGAGTGTCAGGCAGGTCCCTCCGCTGCCTGTGCCCACCTCACCACGCGGTCACTGGGAGGATACACACAGAGCAAGGCCAGCGCACACACAGCGTCAGGCACCTGAGGGCATTCGGTAGGTGCCAGCTGCCAAGAAGAAGGTGATGCCAATGGAAGCACCATCCCCTGGGAGGAATGTTCCGGCCCCCGCTCCGCAGCCCTGCCCACATGGAGGGTTTACCTGCGTCAGGATTGCAGACCCAAGGGGGTGGCCACCAAGCAGCCCGAGGTGAGGGGAGTATCCTTGCCACTCCATGTGCTCCTCGCCAGACTCAGGAACCCCCACTTAGCTGCGTGGCACTGGGCGTTCCCAGCACACAGGCCTCTGTGCCCCCCAGACACTGGGTGGGGGCAGCAGCTCCTGCTTGCAATGGCTCCTGCTGGACCTGGGGCCTGGGCTGAAACATCCTCTAGGAGGTCCTCCCTGGCACCTGGCCTCCTCCGTCGGCCCGTTTTCTCATGTGTCCGCTGTCCCTCCACTGAGCTGAGCTCCGTGAGGAGCTCATCCGCCCACCTCGCTCCCTGCTGCCCCCTATCTCCAAGGGCAGAAGCCCTACCAGTTCCCCCTGTAGCCCTCCTCCTGCTGATCTGGGATGTTAGGTGGTCCCCCCAGGGCTGTGCCCCTTCCCCCCTTCTCTCCTTCCATCATCCGGGATCTGAGGCACCTCGGCAACAGCTCACCACTGTCCCCCACCCTTCTGCGTGTCCCAGGCTGGACGCCCTGGGCTGCTTCCTGCCCCCCAGCACCACAGCCGTGCCCCACAGTGTCCTCCCCGCCCTCCCACTGTCTCGCCCCACGTGCTGCCCCACCACTCCCACTGTCCTGGATCAGTGGACCCGGCCTCCTGGCTCTGTTCTCCCCAGTGCAGTCTAAACCGATTCTGTCCAATTTGGTAGCCACTAGCTGCATACGGCTATTAAAATTGACATTGTATTTAAATGACAAGTTCCTTTATTGCCCCGCCCCTAGTCAGTTTCAAATGCTCAGTAGCCAAGTGTGGCTAGAGGCTGGTGCTTGGGCCAGCACAGGCCTCGATGTTTCCACCATCAAAGAGCGCGTCACGGGCAGTTGGGAAGCCAACAGATCAGTCATCTGCAGGCACAGGTCGATGCTGCTGCTGTGCTCAGAGCCTTCAGTGGCCTCGGGCTGAGGCCACCCTGCCTGGTGCCTCCGAGCAGACGCCGCACAGACCTGCAGCCCCGGAGAGCAGTGGCTCCGTGCCGGCGGTCCGAGGAGCGCACTCCATTGTGCTTCACCCTCTCAGCCTCAGTTTCCTCATCTGTAGAATGTGGATGATAATAATAATGCCTACCTCCAAAGGTGACTGTGAAGGTCAAGTATATGTGCAACCCAGCCAATGGCTGGCATATATCTCAGCACGTGGTAAGAAGTGTCCGTCACATCGACATGAATGAGGCCACAGGGCCAGGTCGAGGGAGGCAGGGTCAGAATAGCTGTGGGCCACCTCGGGCTTCTGGGCACAGTTGCCCTGTTAGTTGGTACCCGAGGATGACTAACCTGTTCAGCCTGCAGTGCTGTCCGCAGGACAGTCTTGGTGGTAGGAATGTTCTGTATGCCCACTGGCCTCTGGGGACTGATGTCTCAGGCAGGCCAGTGACTGGTGTGGGAAGGGGAGGGGGCCCCAGGGAGCAAGGGCAGGCAGGTCCAGCCTCGGGAATCAACTTTCCCAGGCACCTGCTTGCCCTCTGTGGCAGCAGGCAGGAGCTGGGACTGAGCGGAGAGGGACCGGCTGGCTGTGGAGCAGGGGGCGAGGCGGGTTCATCACGGAAAGGGCTTCTGGGTATGGGCGTTGAACTGAGCAGCCAGCCCCGACCTGGAGCTGAGCCAGTGGAGGAAGCGGGGCCAGGACCCTTGTGCCAGGCAAGTTGCGTATTCGAGTGGCACGGGTGCCCGGCCCTCCTCCAACACTGCCGAGATGGTTCCCAGTGTAGCGCTTCCTCTCCCTGCCGGGGCTTGGTTTCCTTATCTGTGGCTGTGACAGCTGCTGCCTTGTGGTGAACAGTGTTTGCCAGGACTCTGGTCACCTGGAACAGATGGCGTCCTTGGCCGGGGCTGGCCCCACGAGCTAACTGTCACTCTGCAGAGTGCCAGGGGAGCAGAATTCCTGGGGACTGGGGTCTTGGCACACCAGACAGTCCCTTGGCCCTGGCGTTCGAGGTTAGCCCAGGGCAAGGGCAGGACCCAAAGTCTGCAGCCCCGCTGGGCCCCCAGTCTGTCTGTCTGCAGGCGCAGGGTGCCTGGGGGAAGCGGTGTCGGTTTCCATCTGTTCCCTTCTCACTGGTGCTGTGTGGCTGACAGGTACCCTGACCTCCCCAAGCCTCTGTTTCCTCAACGAGATGGAGACATACATTTGTTCCTCCAGTGCTGGCCTCCTGAATTGGGCCCCAACTCCTCTCCAGCCCTTGTAGCTGCAGCACCTGGCATACAGCAAGGTCTCAGTGCATGGCCACCAGTAGCCTGGATAATGTGCTGGCCGTAGAGTGACCCCTAGTGTAAGCTTGACCTTTGGAGTCCTGCCTGCTAGAGACGAACTGAAGGAATGAATGAAACAATGAGATTTGAA